TGCATAAAATCCTAGTTAGCTACTTCAAGAAAACATACATCAAGCACATAATAAACTTGAGATTAACAACTTGATAATGAAAGCAAGGAAATCAATTAACTATAAAATCATTCATAACATTGAATATTCATGACTAGGGCTTTATCCTAAGCCCTAACTAAATGGATTAGTTAAACATAACTATGAATAAAGAAAATAAGAAATACATGGATAGGATAAAAAGAGGAGAAGAACTAGATGATGGCAGCAAGGAATTCCCAGGACAGCTCCCAGCTCTTTTCTCTTTTTGTGGTGAATATGAATGTGTGTATGAGAGTAATGGATGAAGTGAAAATGTGTATTTGACTCTCCCTTGAATGAGTGTGCAGCTCTCAATTTATAGAGTGCAATTTCTTCATCCCCCTTGGCTGGTGAAGCACACCTCTCTTAGCTGCTCCTAACTGCTCCAACTGCCCATACTTGCCAACTGCTCCAGATGCCCATACTTGCCACCTGTTCCAGCTGCCAAATACATGCTTTGGTATGTTTTTTTTATGGAAAACTTGACTTTTGTTCATCCTTTTGAGTTTCTGAGCTGATTTGACTCCCATGTGTGGCTGCCCATACTTAGCACATGGCTCCAGGGATGGAGACAGATTAAATGTGATGGCAGCCAACATGATATTTCTGTGAACTTGGTTCAGTCTTTGACGTGCTGAGGGCACCAGATTTATCTAATTAGGCTGAAATTTGGATATGTTATAATAGACACCCATTAGAACAACTTCTATCAAGGATGTCTCCTCATTCGACCTGTGTAAGTTGCTGAAATGAGGACTGCAAGATGACCCACGAAACTAGACTGACAAGGAGTGTGGCCCAAATTGGGTTTGTCTTTAAGCTCATATTCCTCTTATCCCATGGCCCAAATTGGGTTTGTCTTTAAGCTCATATTCCTCTTATCCCATGGCCCAAATTGGGTTTGTCTTTAAGCTCATATTCCTCTTATCCCATTCAGCTCTTAACAAGCATGGATTGCATCAATTGTGATCTCTTGCTGTCTTAACCTACAAAACACACAAACATAGGTAAGAGACTCAAAATAAAGAGAAGCTAAGTAAAGTCACTAAGTAAAGAAGGCATGCGAATGTATGAAATTATGAACTTATCAACAGTCCAATTCTCACCCCAAATTGGGACCGAAACTTGCACTATTTGTCCGGTTTGCCCACAAGCCGATACAATTTCCCATTTTTCCAATTTTGGACTAGAATCCTTTTTTTTTTTTTGGTTTGAAAATTTGAAATCTTTTTTTACAAAACCAACAAAATATTAATTTTTGGGTAATGCTAGGGAGACCATCTATTTATACCATATTTGTGTACCATCTGATGTGGCTGTTGAGTTGGCTATGCCACATCATTAAATGAGCTTTTAACATTTTTAATTTTTTTTTTCACCCTTCACTTTACAGAAACCCAAGCATGTGAGAATTTTGGTTTCCCGTATCTTCAATTGGTTCTTCGCTTAACAAATCTTCTTCTCCTCTCTTATCTTCTCCCTAATCTGTCACAAAAACCAGAGTTTTTCAATTTGCCAGCGACAAAAAATTAACCACTATTTTCTATTACTTTGCCTACCTATAAGTGCACTCCACCATTGCACGAACCACCTGCCATGTCCCAATCTTTGAAATTTGATTTCTGAAAATGAATTCAAAAGTCTAGTTATAATTATGAGAATACAGATTCAACATCTTCAAACAAAACCTCCACCAGTCAAATCATCACCACCAACATAGACAACTAAACCCAATCAAACCACAACCACCACCTAACCACGACCAACACTGTTAAACACCACCACCGTCAAACGTCGCCAGCACAAACCGTCAAACACGGTCGCTTGGAATCTCAACCACACGCAGAGCTTGAACCACCACCATCACCTAATCAAAAACACCACGGCTCCATCAAACCAGATTGACAGCACTGCCACTCAGTCAAACCCAAATATAATATCTACCCAATTGAACCACCAACGTTGAACAACTAATTGCCGAATCTATTTTCATTCCCTTGAGAAGAAAAGGGAAAAAAAACGTTTAAAATAAAAATAGAAGCATGAAAAACTAGGAGAATAGGAGCAATCGTCGGCCTTAGGGAGACATCTGGTAAGTTTTCTTGTGGATGGCAGATTGGCAGGAGGTAGGATAGGAGGTAGGGGTAGGGGAGGAGGTCTAAGCAACGATGTGAAAACTAAACGGCTCTTAGGTTTTTGTATGGGGAAAAAAAGTAATTAAAAATTAAAAATGTTAAAAACTCATTTAATGGTGTGGCATAGCCAACTCAACAGCCACATCAGATGGTACACAAATATGGTACAAATAGATGGTCTCCCTAACATTACCCTTAATTTTTTGGGATTAAAAATTCACAAATGACCCAAATTTATGCAAAGGGAGGTGATTGGGCATAGAAAAGAAGGTGATTTGGGGCTGGGCTTGGGGAAAGATTAGTTATGGGTTTAGAAATTTAGCACTGGAATTAAATACTTTATTAAAAATTAAAAAATACACAGCCAATCTGTTTTAGTCTGAGTTTTTCAACACAAGAACCGAAACCGGACCAAACCGTTTGGGTATGATTTTGGTCAACCCTGTTTTTTCGCTTTTTTCTACTCAATTTGGCTCGATTTTCCAGTTTGAATGACTCCTACTATTATTCAAATAACATCATGCCCTTGCAATTAATTATGTGAAATATCCTTAGAGTTCACATCTCATGATTGACTCTATGATATATTTCTAACAAGCCTCTTCATACAAACTTCATTGCTCATTCTCGACTTTGCTAGCACTGCCAAGTGGTTAGCCGGTTGATTGGTCGTGCAACAAATTCAAGACTAAGAGTAGGTTTGGAAATTTGCTTGAAGCTCCCTTATGTTGCTCATTCTAGACTCACCATTTTGCTTCCCTTTCATAACCAAATTTGCACCCATTGAGGCAAGCTACACATCCGTAGTTGTCGATTTTGCCTCCACCAAGAGAGATTTCCCCACTAAATACTTCCCATGGTGGTCGCTGACTACAACCTTGACCCCTGTTTTTCTCAAAATCAAGTCCTAAGCTGCATCCACGATAATCTTCACAAAGGGATTGAAAGAGGGAGACCAGTCTTGCACTTGAACTTTACTGTGAGGCATAACTAGAAACTAAGGGTGGGCACAATTTTGGGTTAGCCTGATTTAACCACTGGACCCATTCATTGTACGTTGGGTTGGAGCCTAAAAATGATAGGGTCTTAGGTTCAAAAAATCATAAATTATTATGTACGTGTTGGAACCAAAACTTATAAGTAGGCTTAATTTTCAATTAATCCAACCAAACCACCCAACCTAATCACAAATTATTTGGGTTGGGTTGGTCTAATGGTAAGTTATTCTTAGGTCCAAGAAATTATAAACCGCTATATATCGAGTTGGGTTACGGGTTGGGACTAAACTCGACCCAATTTAACTCATGCCCACACCCTAATAGAAACTAGCCTAAATTTCGGTAGAGTTCAAGAAATCAATAAAAGAAACTGGTAAACTGATTCTATGGTTTTGGTTCCATGCTTAACTTAGTTGTTTGAAATGAATTGCAGGTAGAGATGAAACCACTTCATAAGAAGGAAGGACACATCGCGGGACATGCAGGCTTAAGCACTGCCATAGGCCAACATAAACGAAAAACGAAGGCCAAATTTTCCAATCATGTACTCCAAACTATACCCCCAAAAATAAAGGCTCCATTACGACCCCAAAGGTAGAGACCTCTTCCAACGAAGAAGCTTCTGACAAGTGTGAGGGGTCTAGAAGAGTTCACTTCCTTCCCCCATTGATTAGGTGGTTTCAACATTATTACGGATATCTCCTAAAGAGATGAGGAGATTTTCCTTTCTTATTTACTAAGGGACCTGAGTATGATACAACGTGAATAGGCACGCTTGCCTTTTTTTTTTTTTTAGGAGATATTAGTTTCTCACCCCTTATCTACAATGAATATCGATTAGCTGATGATTAACTAACTACAAGTGCTATCAGAAGGGCACCATTGTGGAAACAAGGCATCACACCCTCGACCATAGCAATATTTCATGCTTACAATTAACACTTCTTCCTTTTTTGTTTGTAGTCACCACATAGCAGTTAATATTGTGGATGATGTTGTAAGTGAATTAGGTTATAAATGTCACGACTGACTTCTTGCAAATTGGCGTGACGAGTTGGTGGTTCTTCCCCACATACTACCAAGTACATTTACCTATCACGTCACTCATTCGTAAATTATGTTAGTATTACATATATACTCATGCTTATTGTGCATTATATCTGTTAATTTTGTGCAACAACATATCTTGTATGTGATATAACTAAATTTACGAATGGAAGATTTTTTTTTTTTTTTTTTTTGGAAATAGAAAGAATATGTCATACAATTAAGAGATTCAACTCTACATTTCAAAATTGTGAAATGGTAAAACTAAAATATATATTTTTCCAACTCTACAATTCAAAGATGTTCATTCTAACGCACTCGGATCACTGGTTCTCATTGTCTTGCAAATGTTAACATGTGGTTGAAATTTGGGATTGCCTTTTACTCTGCATGGACAAACTGATGCAAAAGGGCAGCCTTTGAACACGACGACCATCCTATACTATTAGAGTCGAACATCCCAGATAATGAGTGTAACACCCCAACCCAATTTTAACAATTTATTTAATCTATTTAATTTATTTAATTATGAAATTACAAATTTGCCCTCAGAGTAAGGTCACGATAGTCACTTTTCGACTCGTAAGGATATTTGAGATTTGAGTGGCAGCATTGCATAGAGCGCGTCGATAGGAGTTCGTAGACACATAATGGGCCCAAATCAGAGTTTTAACAAAGAAGTTACGAGCAACGGAAGTGCAATGACACAATTGTAAATATTTCAAAGTAAGATTATTTTTTTTTGGGGTATAAATTTTAATTTTCGTTTTTGGAGAGACAAGACGGTACTTTGTTTTGTTGCTTCTCATTCTCTCTGCAGTCTCGCTCCTCGTCGCTTGCGGTGGGCCGATTCGATTCGGTTGGATTCGATTGGATCCCAATTCCCAACCCAAATCAGTGTTTGAATGTCAGGGATCGTGAAATCACCCACGGCTTTCGTACAGTAACGCCGTGTGAGTTTTTATTTCGGTGTCTACTGGGTTTTGGTGGGTTTTTCTTTGGACCGCCGTTTGGGATCATATTCGGAATTTTTGTTGTTGTTGTTTTTCTTGCCTTGTCTTTGATTTATTTGGGATTTGGGTTTTGTGTGATTGATGCTTGTTGCAATTCGAAAAATGGTATTTGTTGATTTGTACATAATTTTGAATTTATTTCATATGGTTTTGCTCTATCCAGATCTCTGATCGATCATGCAGTGCATGTTTGTATGAGTTTTCTTAGGGTTTATCTTAGAATGCAGTTTGTCACATAATCTGAGTCTATGTGTTGGTTGGTTATTGAACTCTGGTCGCTTACGTAGGAAGGATATGCTTTTCTATTATAAAAATAAACAATAAAATAAAACCCTCGGCTCCCCTTGGGATCCAGTCTATTCTAAAATTCCTCTAAAGTTTTATCTCCTGCCTGGTTGTGCAATGCAGATATTAGACAAAGTTCACCAACCAAGCAGTTGCAGTTCCTCCGAGCATACCTGGTACACTTCTCTCAACTTTGCCTTAAATTGTAAGGTTTTGGTTGGATACTAACAATTGAGTGGGTCTTAAATGAAATTTACGAATTTTCTGCCCATGTTTTCCACCTTAAATTTTAATTTTCTATTTTTCGTTTGGTCCAATTTTATTGATGTTGTACTTAATCGCATAATAAACTACAGGTCAAACAAGACCTGCGAACACAAACTCTGGGGTTTCCGATGGCAGCAAACATGAGAAATCGGAGAGCAAGAACTACGGTATCAACTCTGGTTTTTATTTTCTTTTACTTATTTGGATCTTTTCACAGTTTTTATTTGGGATTTATACTCGAGGTGAAGTTTATAGTATATATATTGGTCACATTATACAGTGCCTTTGCATTGAATTGCTATTTTCATGGCTATTGTTAAACAGTTTAGGTATATATCGTATGAATTTTAACTCATGCAGCACTTTATCTTTCAGAAATATATTTGATTCAAAGACCGCTCAAATTTTAAAATTGTTGCAATGTATGAATATCTATCAAGCTTGTCCAATTTTCTATTGAATAAGTTGGTCCTATAAAGCACACATACCCCTTTATTTTGCTTAGAATATTTTGTCGCTTCCTTCTTCTTTCATCCCTTCACCTCTCCTCTCTTCCTTTTCTCTCTTTGATGTTCTCTCATTGTCTCTCACGATCAGGTGGACCGACTCCCTGCGGTTGACAACCTCGACCTCCAAATAGAAGACATAGCTGCTAGATTTAAGGAATTCTCAGAATCAGTCAAGGCGGCGCTCTCAATTGAACAAGTAGGTGTATTCTTGGAAGCTAATGGCCAAGCTTTGTCTGGCTCTGATGATGCTCTTCTCCGAAGATGGTAAATATATTATGGCCTCAGAACCTTCAAATTTTTAGGCACAATGATGAGAGTAACTATTTTTGTTTGTGCCTCGTTTAACTTTACAACTTATAATCGTTTGTGGCAGCCAAGACTTGCTGTTTTATGGGCCATTGGAGAAATGCCCAGTTTGCCACGGCAATAATTTGGAGTTCACTGGATCTTATTGTGCGTGTGCCACTTGCATTTATCGCTCTAAGTATCCACCAAGGAAACGAGGGCCCATCAAGTACCCTATTAGCATCGTCAAGCAAATCAACCCTCGTTTCAACCCGGATTGGGACCCTCCTTATGTGGTGAATATAATTCAAGCCTCATCCACCCATCCCCTTATTCTTCACATTTGATTATATGCTATATATATGATCAAATTATGAGCTTCCTTTATGTCATCTAACTTTGTGTGTGTTTTGGTGCAGGAAGGTCAAGGGTTCTTCGCCCGTTTTTGGTCAGATGTTTTACGACCACACAATCCAAGGGTATAACATCGCCTATTATTTGTATGTTGGTTTAGACAAAAAAATAAAACTAATTATTTGTATGTTGGTTCATCACAGGAGGCGGCCAGAGTGGAAATAACACTAAATATATTTCAGGATGGCATGAGGGAGATCAATGGCAGGAGGATGAACAATATAACTTTTTGGATCTATGTATACGTAGGGGTTTTTGTGTTGACCTGTTTCTTTATCTTTGTGGTCAAACTTTGGTCCAACCTGTCCATAGAATGAAGATCCCAAAACTCTTATGGATCTCGTATTTAGACGCTCTTTTGTTGTTGGAAGGCCAAATTATGAAGCACGTTATTAAGTGATTCGGTGGATTGTCTAGTAAATTATATCAGTCTTGCATACCTGCTTCCTTCCTAAAAGGCCTTGTCTTTTGGTAGTAGTTGTTCGCATTTTGTGTGCGTTTATACCAACTCATATAGTTGACATGTAGTTTCATTACAAAATGTAACTACCTTGAGACATTGCTTGTTTAATTTATGATGTGGAAAAAAAAATGCTGTTTTAAGGTTCTATTAGATGTCGTCGATTTGTGTTTTATAATTACGTACAAGTTTGTTCACTTGCTACATAATACATGTGGAATTAGATGATGCCTTCCCTTCCTAAAAAACAGAATAATTCGGGACATCTGCTACTCATGGTTACGCTTTGAGAGGGAGTTTGGTATATGTGAAGGTAATTTTTCTACTTTATGTTCCCTTTATTATGGGTCACAGAACAGTTAACGATAAAATAAAGTTGGAAAGGTTGTCAAAAGAACTGTACTATGAAAATCATGCTGAGGGTTGTGCGATGTTCTCAGCTTAGGTAATCTTAATGGAGATTTATCACCCAATCAATATCAAACTATTTTTACAATTCATCATATTAAAATGATGGAATGGATGTTTCCTCTATCAAAACTGAGTAAACCAGTACTAGTGCTTCTATATCTGGTATCCTATTTGGTTCAATTTGAGTAAGTATGAATATGTATTGCCTTGTTAATTGAATATATTTACTTGTGCTCCTCCTTCTAGGTCACTCCTCGCCTGGATGAGCTTCTATTATTTAGGTCACAGCTAGAGTCCAAATTGACAGAAGAGGGGGAGAATTCTTCCAAGAAGAATGTTCGTGACAAGAGAAAGCAAGTTTCAGAGATACCTGATGAACATTATCCAGCAAAGAGGCAGAAAGATGCAGCTCAAAAGCCAAATAAAGCACATGGGAAGGATTCTGATGTTCTGAACCCAGGTGAACAAACAGTGGAAAAGATCAAACCGAAGGATCACAAACCAGATATACAAAATGAGCAACGGATGAAGGAGAGCGTGTTCCAGAGGAAACAAAAGTATATGCTGACCAGTGCACTGCATTTGTATCAAATATTAACCTTAAGGCAAGTATACGCCCCAAGTATCCCTTCTCATTCTCTTATTTTTAATGCACATGCGTGATCTTAGAAAACTGTTGGTATTTTGCGGGCAAATGATGAACATCTGCGTCAATTCTTCAGTGATGTTGGGGGAGTGGTTGCTATTAGATTACTGCATGACAAGTTCAATGGATAGTCAAAGCTCTCTCTCTCTCTCTCTCCTGTCAGTTTAATTAATTTTCCTACCTCTGTGTGTCGTGCATTGGGTTGAATAATTTGTACTGGATGTACTATAACTTAGCACTTTGCTACAAATGTAATGCTATCTTGCCTTAACAAGAGTCTTAAAACACATACACAGATTTAAAAGTTAAACTGACACTAGGATAGTAACTTGGCTAACATGTATAATGTTATTGTGCTGCCATCAAAAAGCACGGGACCATATATTCCTTATAGCTGCGTGCAAATCCTTTTTAATTTTCAGTATCTCTAGAAGCCTGGTTTAGTTGATAAGAATCACTTGTTCTATGTTGACCCTAACTTTTAATTTAAAATTTCACAATTTCTAAGAAAGTCCCGTTATCTTCCCAAACTACTTGACCTCAACTTTTAATTTAAAATTTCACAATTTCTAAGAAAGCCCTGTTATCTTCCCAAACTACCCTTAAATACTAGACCTGGCAAAGGGGTCGTTTTAACAGGTTTCAGGTCGTGTTCGTGTGAACCCGTTAAGTTAACGGGCAGGTGAAAAATATCAGACCCAAACACGACCCATTATAATTCGCGAAAAACCCGCACGACCCATTAAGAATAAATAGGAAAAAAAAAAAAAAACTATCGCCCA